CAAGGACAGATCACACCACACATTACCTCCACACAACCAACAAAGGCGGATCTTTGAGCACACTGCAAACATAAACAACTATCGATCTGCTTCAGAATTGGTGAGAGCTGAGGTGGGATGGACGTGGAAAGAAGACAAGGCAGATAACAGAGGTCAAAGAGAAGTGTGCTGCAATCTCTTTCACCTTCATTATAAAACCAAACTGGCCCTTCATACATAACGTCATTACCAGAGTGGGAGAACAATCCCATTAGGAACACTTCACTTCTAATGCAGACAAACTGTTCTTTTGCCCAAGGACAATCATTACCTGGGGGTGCGAGGGGGTGCAGAGGGACTGTGTGTGTGTGTGTGTGTCTGTCTGTGTGTGTAGAGGTAACTGTGCATGAGAGGATGGTATGCTTATACTGGTGCTGATCTTGAAAGGCCATCGCTATCGATTGCATTAAGCTTGCTGGGAGCCTGGGAAATCGATACATTTTTAAAGGCGAAGCAACTAGCAGATAGCATTTTGTGTTTGAAGGCTTCAGTGACATGAAATGGACGTTAAAGTGGTTATTTACAGTGCTCAGCATATATAAGTACACCCCTCACAAATCTATCTTTTAAAATTCATACTTTAGTAGGAAGCTACAATATTATATTTGTGCATATACACTAGGTTAGTCTGTACTGAAGCCAAATCTGGAGCTTATCTAACAAAATAACTTACAATAAGTCCAAAAACTAGTAAATCCTAATTTATATGTTATAGAAAACTATTAAATACAAATTTTAAAAAGAGGAAAAATCAAGAGAAGCTAAAATTGAAAAATTTAGTTAAAATTTTGAATGTTTTTTTTGCAATATTTTGCTTGAATTTAATTGTACTATCTTTCTATTTCTAAATATGTTTGGTGACTAAAATACAATTTAAATAAATATATCTGTATAGTTAATTAATTATTTAATTAATTAATTAATTAATAAATCTGTTTAGTTTAAATGCAAAAAAATCCATTGCCTATACTCACTGAGAAATAGATACAAGTATTCATTTTCTAAATAGAGGGTACAAAAAAAGCATAAAAAAATCGAATAAATGAAAAAAAAAAATTAAATACTGAAAACCCAGCCCAATATATATACATATATATATATATATATATATATATATATATATATATATATATATATATATATATATATATATATATATATATATATATATATATATATATATATATATACACGCACACACACAACTGTGGGAAAAAGTTGAGTTTCTTTGAATTTCTATTGGTCAATATGTAAAAAGTGTACTGTAATCAAAATTTGAAAATGAGTTTCAAATAAAAACATTGATATTTTATTGCCTAAAATGATTATATACATGCCACTCTTTTTCAACTTTGTGCAAAAAAAGCATATAAACATTTGGTTTTAACTTTAGATGATTAGTATTTCACAGAATAAAACTGCTATTTCAGAAATATTACTAACACATTTAAAATAACCTTTTTTTTAAAAACTGTAGATATTTTTAATAAAAGAAACAACAACTAAATGCTAAAACAAAAGCTACAAATTTTTTATTAAACTGAAAATGAAAAACAGAAAATATTCAAATAAAAACTATTAATATATACAGCATGTATTCATTATAAAAAACATATATTTCTGTGTATTGTAGGCATGGGACTATAACCGTTTTCAAGGTATATTGCGGTTTGGAAAAGACAAGGTTTTTAAACTGCCAAAACAGATTTATTTATTTAAGTTTTGTTTATTTATTTATTTATTTATTTTTTTAGAACAACAGTTTCTTCAGCAGAAAAGATATCTAAAGATGTCATTTTAAATTGTAAAAAAATCTGTGTTTTCGAACCAAATCACCAAACCAACCAAACCACGAGACAGCAAAAGTCAATTATTATTATTATTATTATTATTATTATTTAGCCTGACATGTTTAATGTTTAAAAATATTTTAAAGGTTTCTCAAAATGAAATAAACGTGTTCAATATTGGAAAAAAAATTTTTTTTAACCCAGACATTTAAAAAGTATATATCTTAGAGCATTAATCACAATACCGTTAAACTGTGATATTTTTATCCAAGGTTATCATACAGTCAGAACCTTATACCAGCCCATGCCTAGTGTATTGCTTCAAACTTGCATCAAGAACAGCATACAAACCCTAATCCATACATAGTTTCCTCATCATTTATCATTTCCCATGGCCTTCAAACACTTGTGATTTTTAATATGAGGTAATATTCTGCCAAAGTAGCAATAAGTGAAAGAAATAAAGCTCACCTATCTTATTGGTGTGGATAAGAAGCCAGGGACTTGTGGGAAGGTGGAAAACCTGGGGAAATAAAGAAAAATTAAAAAGTATTTTCAGAAATTAAAGGTAAAATCATGTGCAGTTTCTCGAGTAGCACATTGCCAAACTGGCACAAATTCTGACCGAACTAAATTATTTCCTAAAATGGCAAAAATTACACCCAACACTCCCTGAATTGGTTATTGGGTGGTCAATCTGCTAGCCCTGCCCTTAAATGCATGTGATTGGTTGAGCTGCTGTTGCTGGGCTGGTTAGGATGCACAATCAAGCATAATGTTTCAATTTTGGGGGGAAATCAACCTACGAATGGCCAAAATGTTACATTCGAGAACTCTCTCTCTCTATTGGGAAGGAAAAAAATTCAAATGATTAGAAAACACACTTTCCTTCATTAGAATTCGAATAACACCAACCTCTCAAGGGCCGATCAAGGTGCCAGGTCAAAAGAATGCCTCACACTTTTAAATCAAGTGGGACGCCAAAAACACCCATGGCTCTTTGAGCAAATTAATTGCTTGTTCAAAGGCACGCAGGAAAAATCCAATCAGTCTACCAGCTGAGGACTGGAATTACCCACTGACAAGGAATCTGAAGCCAAGGATCTATAGTCAGTCGGAAAAGACAATGAAGGAGTAGAAAATAAGGAGAAATCACAGTTTTTCCTTTCTGTTCTTAAATTCCTGTTACAGCATGTAGGCAGATTTATTATTCCCTCTGCTGCACTCTCAGTACAAATCTTATTGAAAATTGTCAATGGCCATCTGATTTTCTTTTTTAAAATTTTTGTACTCCTCCCTTTCTTTGAGGCACATGCTGTAAGATCTGACTGTGCCTGAAGAGGAATGATATAAAGATGATTGAACTTTTATCTCACGCTGCTTTCTAAACTCTTCTCTAGAATTGATACCATCATGGCGTTTGCCATTTTCAATACAAGTAAGCTGATCTATAAGCAGGTTGATGAACACGCTCTTACATCAGATCCTCACCCGAGAGCACCAGAATTGAGAGGAAAAGGAAAGAGAAGGGATCAATTCTGCCATCTGCTGCAGATCCGGAGAAGTTCATCCTCTATTGATCTATACTGATATACTGGAATGCCACTGAATGAACGAAGTGTGTTGGGGAGAAAGTTACAATTAATGGCATTGTGTAATTTAGGTACAAAATAAATTTACATGTAATCTGTTACAGATATTGAGAAAAAGGTTTAATTAAATTGCATTCACTTATTGAGTATCTGAATGATGTTCTGTGAAAAGCTAGGGTGTTTTAAGTAATATAAATTACACTGTAAAACCCAAAAAGTTAAGGTAACTCAAACCATTTGAGGAAACCGATTACAACAAACCATTTTGCAAAAAGTATTCCTAATGAGTACTGTGAACTTATTCCATTTGAGTAAATGAAGCAATCTGAGCACAGTAAACCCCAATAAATGAAAACAAATAAATAACTCAAACAAAGTGAGTACTGTAAAACTCAATAAGTTAAGACAACTCAAACCGTTTGAGAAAACCGATAACAACAAACCATTTGAGTTAATAAAAAACTAATCTATATCAGTACTCTGAACTTACTCCATTTAGTTGAAGTAATAAGGTATTTAATTAACTTATTACCTCCAACACTGAGTTCAAAACTCTTTTCAAATGAGTAGAATTAACTTTTAGCAAATTTTGAGTTAACTATACTCATTTCATTTGATAAAGTTGACTGTTGGGTTTTACAGTGTAGTTGTTTTGATAGCTTATGATGTTTTTAATTAACATATTAACTGTTAAATTCCCCTCCCCCATGTGTTGTTAGTTGCCAGTGTTTCATTATTTGATTTCAAAAACAGTATTATGGCTATTATTATAATTTCTAATCTGCATTTAACCTTAGAACGGTATAAAAATACAGAGATGCCACTGGCACTGATGCCATTGGTTTTGTGGGGGTTGTGTCACAAGTTACGCAAGTTAATTACGTAGCTTGTCATCTGTTACATTAGAGTTCTGAAGTAAACTTCCCAACACTATGTGAATAAATAAATAAAAATTCCTCATGAATGTATAATTACTTTACTATGTTTATCTTTAATTAAATAACGAATCAATGAATTCATCATTCATTAATTTATATGTGTGTTATTTCTTGATATGTATATTTTTTTATATTTTGTCAGCTTTGGCATTTTATATTCAAAGGCATACCAGTTAAAATGGTTCAGTATAATTGGAGAAACTCCCCTTTACTTAATAAACAGTATAACTTAATCAGCATTTTTATTATGGCTTCTTAATATATTTATTTGCTTATCTATTATTGTCATAATGTACTTTTTAATATTGCTGTAGTATGCTATACTTTTGTTTTGAGAATATATCCATGGGACATACTTTACCATTTCAATTCCTCTTACAGATGAGGAAAAACATGAAAGATTTAACCAGATGAGGCAACAAACACGAGAAGTTTCACACGTTGTTTAGAATTTCTCGACGTCACCAGAAGGAATGTTCATAGTAGCAAAATGTCTTGAAAATTGTATCATTCGCTTACTTCCTACTACTCTCATTGACCATGTTTGGGCTTTGAGTGAGTCACCGTCAAAACAGACACGACTGCTAGTAGTAGAAAGGGTGTAAAGCTTGTACTGTATGGACAAGGAAGTGAGTCATATGCTAATCACTGACGGTAAAATGACGTGTTTGCTGATCGACCGACCAACACCACTGAGAAAACGTGGAACTCTAGCGAACTACAACAAGGAAACAACGTGTTAACTCAGGGTATCGTCCTGTTTGGACATAACAGTTTTGATCTGAGGAAGTACAGCTAAACACAAAGAAACACATCCAGCCGTTTGGGATTCAGCTTGTATTGGTAAGGAGTTAAATTATCTATCAACGATAAAGAATAAGTAAGATTGTAGACTTTTTGTTTGTTTGTAAAAAGGGTAGGAAATTAAGTAGGCTTATATTATCAAAAAATTTATTTTATGTGGGTTGTATGAAGTGTTAAAATATTTATCATGATTAAACTTGTTAGGCTACCTTGTTATACTGTTCGTGTCATCTTTGATGTTGTGAAAGAGAACATACACAATTATATATATATATATATATATATATATATATATATATATATATATATATATATATATATATATATATATATATTAGTTTTGGAGTTTTGACCTTTCCGGGGAATTTCCAACGCTGGACTTTCTCAACCTCTGTAAAAAAAGACCGTTGCATGTGGCGTTCGTGTAGCACGTGACAGAATGTTAGATGCGCTTTTTTGTTCTTTATACAGTCAAATGGCCCATGGGTTTCATTAATAGACTGTAACTATAGAGTAGAACATTGCAATACTATAGGCTATGTTCTCTGACAAGTTTAAAAAAGTAGACGGATGAATGCAAGCAGTCAGAAATGTGCGCACTGAAAGCATTTGACTAAAATTATTACTTATTTAAAACGTGTGATTCACTGTAAGTAAAATATTTAGAATGAAGTGACGGTTTTACATTTATACATTATATCATGTCTTCCTAGATGATGTAAAGAATGAATCATTGTTTTAATTCGGTAAAATTGTCGTAAGTAACCGTTTTTTATTTTATTTATTATCTATATTTATTGTTTTTATTAATGTTGTTTTTGTGTATTATTTATTGGCATTTGATTATATTATAATTTTTATACCTGTTGCTGAAAAAAATCTGATATTTTGTCTTTAGCCCAGCTATAATTCAAAGTTAGTTTGATTGTTTCTTTTCTTCAAATTTCTGGTTTAGAAACTTGAATCAGCTGTCATGTTTAGCCTACCTCAAATGCAGCCTCCATTTTTAATATTTGAATATGATGTTAGACATTAAATTACCGCAGTTGTCATAGCCTAGCTCTGTACAAAACCCTCAGCAGCACCTGTTGACCTGCTCAATACTCGCATTATACATGTGAGTCAGCAGCTGCTCAAGCCACACACTTGATATTGAAGCATGCCATTCTGCTTTTCTTAGCAGTTTGCAGACTCTGTCACAAGTGACCCAAGAGTTAGACATGTAGGTGGAAAGCAGATTTAATCTGATTCCGAGCTCTGTTTGAGTCCTTAGAACATAGTAAATTAGACTTATTATTGTGTCACTCAGATCAGCATTCTGACTAACGTATGAGTAAAGTCGCAGTGTGTTGCTCAAAGGTTGCATAATACAACAACCTCAGCCAGCATGCCTACACTGGCAGATAATTGCTCATTTTTGCTTAATAAGTATTATATAAATATTCTATTCTGTTTGTTTGTGTTTATTTATTTAAATTAAATTATTATATGTTAATAAATAAATTATTATTATATTATTGTTATAGATTATCATGTTTCACAAAATAAAACCAAACGTGTAATTAAACAGCTGTAAATTGAAGAATAAAAGTACTAATTAAACAATTTATTTGTGTTTGTTTTACTTAATTTAAACCGAACAAAGTGATTCATTGGCTTTACTAGCTTGGAGATTTCCAAAAATCAAATTCATTTTATTAAACTATTACAATTACCTTACTTTACCTTAGAAAAAGTTGTTAATAGTTACATTAAAAAAACAACAACATGCAAAGAAAAAGCCATCAGCCTTTCGTTTTTTTTTTTCTTTCTTTTTTCTTTTTTTGTGAACCCTGGGGTGATTATATTAAATACACAGCACATTGATTTTATGACACCAGATTAAAAACCAGACACCAGATATCTGACACCTTTACGGCACTTACGTACATGCAAAAATAAATACAGGTCACAACTGAACATGGAGGATGATCTCTGAGTGGTAGTTTTAAAAATTAAATAATGAATAGACTTAGGCCTATTGGTGTGTGTGCATATTTGTGTGCTAGGTTCATATATTTATAACCACTCCAGAGGATATTGGGGGTCGCTAGTCACTGGCATTGTTATTTTAAGGGTCACAGGCTAAAATGTTGGAGAACCCCTGATTTAATGCACTGTGGGTTAACATGAACTAACAATTAACAACTTAAATAACGTTAACTAACATGAACAAACACTGTACAAATTATTTCTTTACTTTTAATTACTTATTGTAAAGTGTAACCAAAATTAAGTTAACTTAGTAGTTTCAAGCTACAATGAGTTTGCTCGCTTTTTAAGGGAAATCAACTTTTAGGCAGTGGATATTCTAACCTTTTGAAGTACTAAATTGCTTTTTACAGTGGGTACATTTTTATTATGAACAAACAATCCATTCGGATGTCTTTGATATTTAAAATCCTGCAATTCATAAAAGGTTGCCAATGCTAAATCTAAATCAGGATTGTAGCGTTATCTATCATAATACATATTAACATTGATGCATGATCTTAGGTCTAAAGGGTGCATGTTTATTTGCAAATCAATCTGTATTTGCAACTGTAAACCTTACTTGGCAATATGCTGTGTGGGACATGAGCCACACAGTTTCTATATTTGTATCTTATTTGCATTTAATGCAAATTATATCTACTCCATTCTCTCAGTATAACAAGTCCTCAAATGTGATGGAGCTAAATAACAGGTGACAGACGAAAGAAAAAACAGTGCTGGGGAAGTTCCTCTTATCAGATGCTAATACACATAACCTACACATGTATAGGGGTTTTAGGTTGTGGTTGGTCATGGGAATTTATTTATTTGACGTGTTTTTGTTTTTGGAAGAGTCGGGGGAACCTAATGTGATTGGTATTCGTTTATTTGAACCAAAAAAGAGAACATTATTTCATAGGTCTCGTTTATTTAATGTTTCAGATTCACTTCATTTTAAACTCAGTGAAATCCAATTGAGCATACTCGTCAAGTTCAATCGCAGGTCCTAACTGTGTGGTTTACTATCGTAATAAAAAGCCCCAAGCTGGAATTTCAGTTTTGTTTTTCTTTTCCAGTGCTGAGAATGAAGAGAGAAGTGAGAGCCGGGGTGAACTTTCTGAAAGGTTTGGCAGTGCAGCGAGGAGGTGTAGATCAAATTAAAGCCAAACTTTTTGCATCTAAATTGCAAGAGCTTCTGCTGGAAAAGTTTACAGGTCACTGGTATCCAGATAATCCCAGCAAAGGGCAGGCGTACAGGTACATGAGGATTTACTCATCTGGTAAAACATAGTGTACTGTGTTCATAGAATAGTTTGTGTATGTATTGAAATCTGTTTTTGTTTTGAATTGTAATGCACTTATCACTTTAACGCTAATCAAACAGGAGATCAAATAACTTTGCTAGCATCAATTCACTAATGAACAAAAGTTTGGGGATGGTAAGATTGTTTGAAAATGTTTTTGAATATGTCATTTAGGCTTACTGAGGCTGCATTTACAGTAAACATAAAAAATTATGGTCTGAAATATTATCACAATTTAATTTAATACAACAAACTAATAAAAATCACTAAACATCCAAAATAGAAAAGAAAACTAATTTAAAGCATTAATAAAAGTTACAGTACTCTGCATATATGAGCACACCCCCACAAATTTTGCATTTAAATTAATATCTTTTTCTATAGGATGCTTTACAATATCATATATGTGCATATACATTAGATTAATCAGCACTGAAGCCAAATCTGAAGCTAATCTAAACAAAATAATTTGAAATCAGTGGTGGTTCTAGTTTAAATGGCACCCTTAAGAAATAAAGACCCTATGTTGTTGACTTTCTATGTATTTTAAATATATATTTTAAAGGTATACATTTAAAATAATTAATACATTTAAATATATTTATTTATTTTCAATAAAAATAACAATTTGTTTATTATTATTATTATAAATAAATAAATAAACAAATAAATAACAGAAGTCAATCCTAAATGTAAGTGAAAAACAATGTAAAGACACAACTGAAGTAATATTCTAAGTCTTTTGCATGAATATTAATTATGACAGTTCTATAGAAACAAAAAATATTTTATAGAATATATAGCATATAGAATCGGTTGTCTTAGACCCAACTCATGGCATATAATTTATATTATGAAGTCATAGTTACCTCCCTGACTCATTATTGCTGCTTTCTGCTTCATAGCCATGCTTAGTCAAAGTAACATCATCATCATATGATATAAACTGTAGTTTTGTCCACTTGTCGATACATATCGGCGTGCTTGTAAACCGGGATCAGGGGCAATTTGTTTACATCAACATTGTTTCGGTTGCACACAGAGAATAACAAACTTGTGTGTGCAAAAGACACAGAATGTGTATTGCCTCTAACGTCTTTATTCTGGGATAACCACTCTAAATTAATACACTTGCATAAAGTAAATCTAGTCTCAAAGCTTTTACTGGGCCACTTTTTTTCCTCCATGCCGCCCCCAGCGAGATGCCACCCTGGGTGATTGCCCATGCCTAAATCCGCCACTGCTTACAATAATGGTTCAAAAATTATTAGCCCAAATTAATTTGTTAGGGAAAAATATTACATACGTTTTTCAAAAATAGCAAAAATCAAGAGAAAAAAAATAATTTAATTAAAATGTTGTAGGTTTAAAAAAATTTTTTGCAATATTTTGCAGGAATTTAATTGTATTATCTTTCCATTTCTAAAGATATTATGTGACAAAAATATTGTGTTAATAAATATATCTGTTTAATAATCTGTTTTTTTTTTGTTTAAATGCACCAATATATATATATATATATATATATATATATATATATATATATATATATATATATATATATATATATTAACTATATTCACTGAGTAATGGATAAAAATATTAATTTTCAAAATGGGTGTACTCAATTATGCTGAGCACTGTACAATAGTTTTTACTTGGTGAAACTTAACGCAGTTTCTTAATGAATGTATTTGTTAAATGTAATTTATTTTTAAAGTAATATTTACACAACAAAATTTTAAAAAATGTATACTTAAGGACTTGATTACTAGAAAGTTCATAACAGCACTGAGAATGTATGGTATTGTTGCGGAATAAAATATTTTCTTTAAACAAAAAAGAATGATAGTACATATTTTATATGAAAACAGTAGTAAATGCATCTAAAGTGATCAGGTTCACATCAAGAAAGTGAAGCAATAATTGCATTTATTTGAGTAAAAAATCATTGTCTATGACTTTTAAACAAAGAAAGCAATCATTTACAACATGAATTCATTTCTTTGATTCCTCAGATGCATCAGAATAAATGCTAGCCATCCCTGTGATGAATCCGTATCAAAAGCCTGCATGGAGAGTGGCTTCAAGTCAAGTGAGCTGGGCTTTCCTCGTGAAATCACAATGTGGATCGACCCCATGGAGGTCTGTGTCCGGTAAGTTCTATGTCGAAATTTAATTAAAAGTCTTTTCTTTTATTAAGCAAAGGGTGGTTCCTACAGGCTTTTTTAGAATCGACTTTCCCTGAAGTGAGATCTTACCTCTCAAAGTAATGACTTGCATTAATACGTTTTCACAGGTCTGGAGAGAACGGCAGATATTTCACAGTGGCTCATTTTGATAAAGTGGAGGATGAAGAAAAGGACTCGAATAATAATGACACTCTTAGCCAAGTGGATTCTGTGAATCTGGATACATCAGACTATCATTCGGCAAGCTCATCTGACTGTGGCTCAGCGGTCTCAAGTGATACAGAAGAGGAGGTGAAAGACAATAAATTGAGAAAAGTGCCAGAGAGGACAGCAGAGAGCACACTTTGTACATCAAGATCCAAAGCAAGGGAGCCAAAAGGAAGACGCAAGTTTCCTCCATCTCAGGTAAATACCATCATGCATTGCTTCACTTTTACTTTAGAAAACTGCACTGATTTCTTATTGTATTTAACATCATAAAAAGAAATTGAATTGACAAAATGAAACTTGAAGATTTTGTGGCCAAATATCAAATTTTGTATTAAGAAGAAAGGTCTATCTATCTATCTATCTATCTATCTATCTATCTATCTATCTATCTATCTATCTATCTGTCTGTCTGTCTGTCTGTCTGTCTGTCTGTCTGTCTGTCTGTCTGTCTGTCTGTCTGTCTGTCTGTCTGTCTGTCTGTCTGTCTGTCTGTCTGTCTGTCTGTCTGTCTGTCTGTCTCTATAATTAATTTTTTACTACATATAATTAGGGATGTATCGATACGATCCACGATTTAGTCACAATTTTTTAAACAAAATTACTTGAGACAAGTTTAAGGTGAAGAGCCCTTTCATTTTTCTCAAATGGTGCACTTTTTTTTTTTTTACAAAATAAAAATATTTTCTGCTAAAACTAAATTGGAATTGAATAAAGTGAATAATAAAAACTAAAGACTCTTTTAAAATAAGCAAACTGAAACTTTGACTGTGCTGCTAAATTACAAATTTAAAACGAATTCCAAAACAAAAATGAACAATACAACCCAATACAAGTCTCTTTAATACAGACAAACTAAAACTGACTGTGCTGGGATTTTACTTTTTTTTATATCAGCATATTTACATAAGCTGATGGAAAAAAAAAACTCTTACTGGGGACTGAGATGGCTGGTGTGGAGAGGAAAGACTTGCCTAAACCAAAGTGCAGGGTGTACAGAGGTGGTCAACAGGCCCTCTGCTCCAGGGGACTCCATGTATGATATAATAAGCAAATTACTAAAATAAGCATAAACTAAACTGAAAAAGTGAGGGTAAAAAAGGAACAGTCTAATACCTGGTTCTATAACAGAACAGCTTTCTTTTTCAGTCTGAAAAACATCTTTACACTTTCGTATGAAAACACTGATGCACTATGTGATCTTCGTAACATTCACACTCGTCAGAGCAAGCGGAGCTGCGAATCTTTCGATCAGCTTGGTTTGGCTTATTAATAGTTTTTTAGACGTCTGTGATCTAACTTCTGTTAGTGCAACTTCTTTTTGCTTTATTTGCACACAGTTTGTGTTAGTCTGGCGCACTTTGCGGCTGTCACTTTTAGTCTGCCGCTAAACCTTGTGTTCGCCCTTAAGTGCAAGTAAAGCAAGTTTGCACATATAAAAACCCCCTCTGTTCAGAACATGTATTGCGATATTGAGAACATTTGTACTGGTGTTTGCCGAGAAATGCACCCCTGCCGCAAAATGCATCCCTCATAGACTTTCATTAAAATTCTCAGTCTACATAAAAAAGATAATTAATTAGAATGTAAAATTATTATTATTATAAAATTAAATAATTTTAATAAATAAAGCAAGCACAAAAGAAGCGAAACACATTCTAAAACACACTAGGTTTACAAATAAATGTAAAATAATAATATTGACTGCAGTGTAGCCTAAAATTAGGCTTTTAGGTCGGTTTTAAACAGACATTTAGGCTACATGGAACCAGAGATGTATAAAGTACTAGAGACTCAGACTTAAGTTAAAGTACAAGTGCTCTATAAAAAGTGACTTGAGTAGAAGTTGAAGTGCTCTTTAAGCACCATACTTAAGTGGAAGTACTAAAGTATTCAACATTTTTTGAACTTAAGTATTGCAAGTAGTTTATTTAAAAATTTACTACTCCAGCACTTAAAGTAAAAGTACAAGTTTTGTGTAATTTAGTTATTAAGGAAAGCAGTCAGAATATATCATATTGTTTTGTTTATATTTCTCTCGTGCTTGAACCACAGATCTGACAGATTATAACAGCTTTAACACACACCTTTCAAAGTTGTGTGTCACAAAAACACTCCGTACGCTGTAAACAGAAGTTTTAAACATTCTACCGGAAGACACTGGTCGTATGGCACCCTCCATGCAGTAGCCAAGAAAAAAGTCTAAAATTGTAACAAGTTGGGGTGTGAACCTACACTGGTTTCAAGGTTTGGTTCGGTTACGATTATCATGCCATCGATTCAGTTCAATTTGATATTTCGGTGTATTGACGATGCTTTCCATACATAATTAGATTTTTTTTCTTCACAACACTAGAATTTTTGTTTTTAAAATCTATAAATATTATTATAAATTATTTTTAATACACTTTTGTTCTTTAATATAGCAGTAAGATAAATGAACTGTACCCTTAATTTGACCTGCTCAAAGAAAACACTCTTTCTGAATGTATCAAATTATACACCAGTACATGCATAGAAGACAGCAAGAGCATTTATAGCAAATAAACTAATGTAAATATTATACCGCTTGCTTTTTAAGCGCAGACAGGCAAGGTGTTACACCCCTATAATGTTAATATAATATATATTGTGATATAAGATTTGTGATTCCTACAGCTTTGGATAACTCAAAACAGCAACCACAAGTCTCTCCACCATGGTCAAAAGTCTTCGTAATAGTCCATAGTTGACAACACAAAAACTTCCATGGAAACCCCTCCTCTGCTTTTATTTGATTGGAGAATGAAAAAGATGCAACTGATGTAATGAGTTTTTTCTGCTCAGAGTTGACTTTTATTCAACTGTGGGTGCAAGGGCGAAAATGTGAAGCCTAGCATGCAGTTGAAAAGCGAGGGACGCAGGGTGCGTAAGCAGCGTAAGCCGCGTGCAAACCAGTCATTAGTAATTCATTCAAAAATGGCGTCTCTCAACGCAAAAAACGCATTCGGTGTGATTGGCCCCTTAGGGCCTACTTACACTATGCTATCTGAACCATGCCCAGACCGTTTCCTGGATTGTTTGAGAAGTGTAAGTGCGCTGATTTGGGCTCATGTCCGGTTGTAAGAGGTGTGCCTGAGTGTGTGTGTGAGTGCAAAATGTGCCTAAGCCCGAAACTGAAAGCGAGACATGACTTTTAAGGGACCGTTTCATATGGATTTATTAATCATTCTTATTGTTCAGTGGATGCAAACTGTCGCAGTTTGATAAAGACGCAAACCCCTCACTGCTCGACAGCTGCGCACCTTCAGCAAACCTCCTAATTTCTGCAGCACAAGGATTTTATGGTTGTTTATGAGCATCAAAAGTGGCTGATCTGTTCGGCGATATATTTGACTGCGTGTCACCGCATATCAAACGACTTAAACGATATAACTAAAGAAATGTGTTGAGCGAGAGAGCTTTTGCTGTACAGCGAAGCATCAATGACATAAGCGTGCCCAGGCCCGAATGTAATGTAAGTGCGGGCCGTCTGGGGAGCGGGGAGGGGGGTAAGCGTGCTTTGGGCCGGTTCAACGCAACTGTACATAGTGTGAGTACACCCTTTGTCTGCCACCCCATTTCTTTCTTGCCACTAATGTGCAAGTAAAGCGAGTTTGCACCTGTAAACACAGCACCCCCTTTGATTAAAACATGTATTGCGATTCATTCATTTTTAATCGATTTTCAACCGACTCATGGTGAATAGTTACGTCCATACATACACTGTCTAGGGAGCACATGAAGAGTTTTTATTTATAGCATCAGTTTTGACAGCACTGTCTCAGAGGTATATAGAGAAATACAGTGAGTCTAATCAGAGTGGTTGAATCATAGGTATTCTAGCCTACATATTAGTCTACATTATATAACTTTGTTTTTATCAATATAAATGTCCTCCTTTATAGACGTTGTGTTGTTCTTAACATTTTGCTGTATTGTTTTCCCTTAAAGTTTCTTTAGTTGGTTTTAAATTTATCCTCATAAAATATGCAGGAACCCCAGGACAGCAATGCATTTTGAAAATCTCAGAATAGATGCAGAATCGATTTCAATACCACAGCTCTACACCTGTTGCTTTGAGTGATGTGAATTTTAAATACAACATTAAATTTGCATATTTTGTAATAAATAATATGAAAGGTCCAATTTTGTTTGCCCTGTGTAAATGGAGGAGGTTTAAGAAATCAGAAGGATATCTTATCTGTGAAACCACATGAAAGGACAAGTGCAAATAAGAGCCGAGACAAGTCATTAAACTGACATTGTGAAATATTTTCTGTCACAAACAGATCCCTGGCCCGCAGTACTTCTATAACCCTGCACCGATGTGGCCCCAGTACAAGAAAAAGAGAGGCATGTTCTTCACCACTGTCTGCGCACCAGCACCTTCTCCACTGTTTGCATACTATGTTCTGCCCAAAGCAGCTCCTCAGTTCATTGTGCCTCACGCTGCCCTGCAAACCTGGGGGACGGTGAAAGGGTAAAAAGCTCCAAAGCAATTAGCACATACACCTAGTACGTGGGCGTTTCTGAATAATATGAAACTTATCTGCCACTGCAGGGAACTTTATAGCTTATCATAATGAACTTGAGATATAGTGTCAAGCCAACTATTTAACTTTTGTATTTATTTTTTGATACGCCTTTTGCTTTTAACATATTTTATCATTATATAGGCTTTCTTTAGTTGAGCGATGCATTCAATCTGCTTTTGCACAAAACACTCAGTTATTACTTTAATCTTTGGCCTAAGTTAGATTGCTGCATACTTGAATTTTTACTTTTATTTTTGGAAACTGCAGCTTTTACACCTGCTTGTGTAGATGCTTTACTAACATTTTATTCAAATGACGTTTGAGAGTTTTCATGCAATATAATGCAGTGTAAAAACACATTTTTTTCAAATATTACCAGCTGTACCTCAGAAAATACCAAGCATTTTATAATATTTCTATACAAAAATCAACTCTCACTGAAGCCAGAGGTTTGGAATTATTTGCTGCCTGTAGATTCAGTTCCTGACTAATGTGAATTCACCATTTCATTTTAAGGATAATCCTACCTGCTCAATATTTAGAAAGAACTGCATTAATAATAATATGCCTTTTAAAAACTATTTATGCTATTCTATGCACATGTTTATCTTTTTTAAATGGTAATGTAATGGTTGATTTACTGTAATTTATTTAAATACCACTAGGTGGTAGTACACATTGCCAAAAGCCATATTTGTACATTTCATCATCTTCAATGTTTTGATTGTACATAATAATTTTCTTTCTGATCTTGCTGGTGTCTGTTTTCTGAAAACTACATGTAACAATTTATAGCAGGGATGCCCAAACTTTTTTTACATGAAGGGCCAAAAAACAAATATCACTGAATTATTTTACATTAAAGTTTCCATGGGTAATTTCATAATTAATTTTATAATATTTAAAAATAGATAGAAATTAAAATTATAACTTTTTGCAATAAGATCATAAACATTCATAACACAGTGAAGTTTAACGCTGAATTCATTAGTCGAGCAGAATATGCCTTTGCCTCTATCTGTCGGGTAACAGTGTACATTTTTAATTAAATCTGATTAAATGAAACCACTTAAATTGAAACCTTTCATTTCAGTTTGTGTAGCAATATAACAAACAAATAAAAAAGTTAATTAAATTGGAAATAAAAATCTCTAAATCAGGGGTGGCCAAACTTTTTCTTATGAAGGGCCAAAATACAAACTTAATTGAGGCTAGTTGGCCGAAGGTAAATATATTTGCTATGGGTAAATTCCTTATTTATTTAAAAATATTTGAAAATAACTAGATAGCATTGCTTTATATTAATTAATACGGTACATATATATATATTTATTTATTTTTTAATTTTTTTATTATTATTTTTTTTTTACATTTTATACTGAACTTATTACAGTAAAAACTAAAAATCTCATGGAGTTAAGAATCTAGTTACACTAGTTGTTGCCTTGATTTGCTTTCCTATGTCTTCTGCATAGTCCTCTATTTGTTGTGACAGTATTTATATTTTTAAAACTCAGATTTATTTACATTTGAATTAAACATTTAATTTCAATTAGCTTTTTTGTAGCTTCGCAATAAAACAAACAAACTAAAAAGGGTTATGTCAAATTAGGGCTGGGCGATAAAATCGGTATCAGTATTTATTGACAGAACACCGTTGTCAATATCGATTTAAAAAAAAATTGATCAGAAGTACGCAAGTAAGTTTTGGTAGGACCAGGGCGGGGCCAAGTCGAAGCACTCACTTTGGTCCCCTGGGCTCTGTGATTGGGAAATTCCAGATTGAACCAAAACAAACTTACAATTGGCTTAAGATTAGCAGTTAAAGTTCAGGACATTGCAACCTGCAGAACCAGGGAAAAAAAGATGTTTGGGTATGAAGCGCTATAGTTTTATTAATTTGGTTGCTAAGCTTGTCATGCGTACATGTGATAATTTTTTTTTTTTTTGCAATATCGCCTTTCCCTATGTCTAATTAGAAATGACAATCTCTATTAAAGACATTGCCCCAATCCTTTCTATTATTCTCAGATGGGATGGTGGGCCAAATCAAAGGTTACAATGGGCCATCTTTAGCCTGCGGGCCCTACTTTGGGCATCTCTGCTCTAAACCATTAGCATCATTCTCCCTCTCAGATAGGATGGCGGGCCAAATCAAAGGTTACCATGGGCTTTATGGTTTATAGTGTCCTCATCTCACTGGTGCTTTCATGAGTTCCAACAAATTGTTTTAATAATTTACATTTTGTAGATCTATTTAATTTTTATACAGTAATTACTTATTTAAAACTTAGCATATTGAATTTTAACACTGGAACTGAACTTTTTATATGCATTATTGTTATATAAATTAATTGTGTGCAGTTTTTTACTATTACTGGCTTTTGCTCAGTTTTCAACTGTGTATTTATAAATGCTTCCGTTTAGTGTATTTTGAAATGTTTTTTTATGCAGTCACTGTGTATATGGCTCCTGCTTCAGCAAAAGGGCAATGAGATCTTTTTTCATGACTATGTTAAATCGATCAGTTACAAATATGTATTTTCTTAATAAAACTGTGACGGCTTTAAAAAAAAAATGTTTGTAGAAATTTATTTTCACCCACCACATTTATTTAATTCTTGATTTATTTATATTCTTCACTGACCTAAAATGTAGAAATTCTGACTTTAATCCTTTAATACTTATTTAATCTTTCCATAAAGTCAGGTAATTTTGATGGTCTGGAGAACAGTTTGGATCTTTAAAGAATTTTGGATCTCCAGAACATCTCTGGAACTCTGAAAAAATAGAAATTCTGTCATCATTTTTCACTTTTTCCAAACCGGTTTCAAAATTAGAATGTTGGTGGCCACCAATTTTTAAAGTATTTTAGTTGATGTTGATGTTTAAATGTTGATGTCTTCAAACATTCTTCCAAATATCATTTGATAAATAATAAATAAACAATCAAAAAAACTTAAGAGTACATTTGACATTTTTGGGATACCTTCTGAGATCTTCAGTCATCTTATGAGGCAAGATGTAAAATATGGTGGAAGCTTCAGCTGGATGTGTTGCTCCTCAAAAGCTTATGAACTGATTTGGATTTAAACATTTATTGGGACAGTTGTTCTAAGTTGTGGGCTACAGGATGCCCTGGCGGAAGGATCCACACGGGACAAGTGCGTCACTTGGCCCAAGGTCATTACGTCATTCCTAGAGGAAGACAGGCAAGGATTTCAGTATAGAAATAGATTCTGCTTGGGGTTGAAAGAGGGAGATTGTAAACGAAAAGGAGACGACAACAGACTTCGTGGCCAGGCTTGTATAGTTTCTGAGTTCCTGTCCCTCTTGAGTTTATGATGGTTCCATGTTTTGTTTTCCAGGTGGTCTAGCAAGAGAAGGGTATCTTATATTCAAATTCTTTCAAATATCAAGTGCAGGTTTGAAATGCCTATATTATGCTATTAAAAAAAAAGAAGTTTTGTGTTGAAAAAGAAGTTTAATTCCAATTTAAAAACCCGAATACATGAACTGCTGTTAACATGAAATATAAATGATTGTAAAGTCTATAGCATTGGGTAGTAAATGATTACATGTAATGTAACTTTGAGTGATCTAGATTTTTGAATGATGGACCCCCATGCTAAGACACAAAGGCATCTGTACAGTTTTCTGTACAGTTTTTCTGCACAATGCCTACATTATACGAATGGAATTTTAAAAGCATTTACATTATTTGTTTAGACCGCATCTGCGTTTGTTTAATCTTTTTCTTAATAATTTGGGTAATTATTTTTTTCATTTTGATAAATCATGATAAAGCGTTCTCAAAATAGGAGTAAATATTTCCTATGTTGTTTATTTTCTATTATCTTTATTCTATAAATAAAGCTACCATCAGTTGCATATTTGTGTCTTCAAATGTTTTTTTTTTAATTTGTAAAATAATTTATTCAGGTTTATTAGACTTTTTATGATAATCTTTAGTCAGCTCATAAGTATTTAAGTATTCAAAATATATTGCTTAAAACAATGCAGATTATAAACTTATTAGGCTATTAATGTTGCAGTAGGGGATTGTCTTCAGAAACATTTTTGTTGAGCTGGTTGAAAGTCTCTTCACATTCCAATAGTAATGATTAAAGTAAATTATCTAAATGTATTTGCGTGTAGGCTATTTTTATATTCTGAGTAAGGCATACCCAATAAACACACAACATTGCCTCAATGTATAGCGACCCTCCTACAACGTTGTACCAATCTTGCAAAAAGGTTGAGGATTCTACGTTGTTGCTAAAAGTTGTCACAACGATGTCATAATGTTGCCATTCAAACATCATGAGGGCCGCATACTTTAAGTTGTGCTTAGTGGCGTGGACCACCACTGTACAACATTTACTGGTCACAGTTGATTCAGTTGAAATGTCAACAGTCTCATTCATTAACGACCGAGGAGACGTGAGTATTGTTTTATTTCTTCTTACTAAATAACATATGTAAAGTGTGAATAACGTTATTCAAACAAATCTACAGTTTCGACTACAGTCTGTTCCAACATTACACACATTAAAAAGCCGTAATAAAGTTATTACAATCGATTAACATTGCAGCATTCCATTCACGGACGGCGACGATATTAAAACCCTTATGTTAAATCTCTTTATAAAACATTTTCTGATTATTTACCTATGCCTTGTCTTTAGTCGACTGGACAATAATGTTTTTGAAGTTCAGTTTTTTTTCCATATCGATCGTGATCATTTAGATATGGATAGGCTACTTCATCACACGATACCAGCCGATCCACTTTTTACACACGAACTGACTTTTAAATACAGAACACCTCTGTGTAGTCTGTGTCCCGTTAAAGGAACAGTTCACTCAAAAATGAAAATGTACGCACAAATTATTTGCCCTGTATATAACAAGTGATTCCAAAGATAAGAGTTACATTGGCTCATTTCTAAACAATAACAAAATGTCAAACTGCATTGTTTATCGTGCTACACTGAATTTTCGGTGTGAAATAGTATGTAAAATGGCCAGTGGTGGAAAGAGTACTGAAAAATCATACTCAAGTAAAAGTACCATTACTTGCCTAAAAATGTAGTGTGAGTAGAGTAAAAGTATATGTTGTCAATTTTACTCAAAGTATGAGTAAAAAGTAGCCCTTTTAAAAGTACTCATTTGAGTTGTGAGTATTTCGCTGTGAAAAGCTGATGCGTTTACATGTTTTGTGGATGTGTGTAAACGTAACATTCTGTAGTGCATGTAGTTATTACACAATGTCATAGGACGTAATAGGTTAGATTTAGGTTGTGATGTCAAGTGACCAAAATTCAATGTCTAGCCAGTGTCTAAGTATAACATTATTTTGATGTCTAATAACAACGTTAAATGACGTTGATATTTGGTTGATTTTAGGTTGTGTTAGAAAGTGACCAAAATCCAATGTCGAGCCAACATCTTAAACCAACCTATTGACGTCAAATACTGATATTGATTTTGGACGTCTTCTTGAACACTTTTAATGCTTCCAAACAGTTTGCTGCATTTATAAATCACCCATGTTTTGAGGTAGTTCATTATGATGCTATTTACCTTCTATGTGTGATTGGACTGGAATCACAGGACTAATTTTGTTAATCTCCATGGACAAGAAAAAAGTAGTGACTGCAGGTTGAAGGAAAGTAGTGGAGTAAAAGTACAGATACAGCACTAAAAATGTACTCAAGTAAAAGTACACATTTTTAAAACTACTCAATAAATTACAATTCCTGAGAAAAAGTAATTAATTACAGTAATTTGAGTGTTTGTAATTAGTTACTTTACACCACTGAAAATGGCTTAGTAATAAGTGTAATTCCTGCAGCCACTGGCCAACGAAACAATAAATTTATTATTGTAAAGTACTATAAAGCTTTCTAACTGGCAAATGACATGATCTAGTGGACCTCTCATCTTTAATGTGCGCGTTCGCGAGGAGGCATATATGGCTTTGGACTACTCTTAAAGGGATTGTATTCAAAAGATACTGACCGTCTACTGCACCTTTAACTGCAGAAATACTCCCACCTCCGACCACAGTTGCAGTGGAAAAGGTAGCTGCATTTAACCAAACCTTTAGTGCTGCACTAAACTGGTCTCCCACTAGAGGTGCCCACGTGGACGAATTTAGTGTATATATTCATGTCTTGGCTCATCTCCTCAAATGTGCCGAGAAGGCAAACGATACATGAGATGACAAAAACGTATTTCTAACAATTACAGTATCTTGAAACTTCACCCTTTCTTCACTTAACCAAACTACATTTTGTCAGTCGCGCGCTTCAACGCATCTTGAACTTGGGAACGTGAAAAAAAAACGGAATCAAATTAAAAATAAAACTGTTCCACATTTAAAACACGGCTATGCAGTATTTGAAGATGAATTTGATGTGGTTCGTCTGCAGTTTACGCAAGAGCGTCTGAGAGAGAGCGCCTGCCCACAGACTCAGTCAAATGCTGAGGCGCGTAACAGTCTGAGTGGAGGATCGCAGGCGCATTTCGCTCTTCACTCCGCGCTTCGTGATAATAACTGGTTTCACTGTGCTATGTCTTCCGAAATTTTGTTAGAAGAGGCGGAAGGACAGGACGGGGAACAAGGCGACTGAAGGCGACTGTGTGAACTGAAAACACAAGCGCGCTATGGAGATGACCGCTCGCTTCGCGCAGTTGGAGACCATGGTGGACGGCAAAAACTGCGATGGCCTTGTGAACCATAACGGGGAAACAACAGAGATAAGAGTTCCGCTGTCCCACATGGGGAAGAGAATGAGTCCTATTGAAGGGTTGAACCTCTACAGACTGCGCGACAGAAAGTTCTTACTGGAGGACAAAAGGCGCCTGTGCGCGTGGGCTCTGGGCACCGCGCTGTTGGGCATTCTGCTAATGGTGTTACACGCTGAGCTGTGCCCAGTAGTGTACCAGCCGGTGAGTACATCTACCTGTCATCAAGAAGGCTTCAGCTAGTAGTGTGCTTGACACAGCAAGTGATGAAACTGATGAATGGAGCATCAACTTTTAGAGGGTAAAATTGTAATTAATGAAGAAAAAAATCACCCAGATATAAATAAAAACACACTAGTTACACTTACAAAAAATAATATATAATGTATTATAGTAAATACCATAACGTTTTCGAACCATAGTATGACGTGATCTGATGTGTTAATGGGATAGTTCACCCAAAAAGAAAATATTCTCACTATGTAGGCACGCTCAAGTAGTTCCAAAACTTCAAGAGTTCTTTCTTCTGTTGAACAGAAAAGAAGATGTTTTAAAGAATGCTGAAAACGGTAACCATTGATTTCTATAGTTGGAAAAACAAAGACTATGGAAATCAATGCTTAGAGGTTTCCAACTTTCTTCAAATCATCTACTTTCATGTTCAAATGCAGAAAGAAATGCTACAAGTGAGGGGGGATTGACATCATTTTTAAATTCAATTCTAGTTAATGTGATAATACAAAAACTAGTAATATAGACAAATTGCCCAATTACAAAAACACCACAGTCTGTGAAAACGAAAGTATTCACAATTTACAAAGGTTTTTATTAATTCATAATGGTTTATACAGTATGCTGTACAATAAATTAATAAAGAGTTGTACATATTATATACAGTATAATAGACTTTACTCTACTATGGTTCAAAACATCAGTATACACATTTAGTGTTTTTTATGTGGGGGAACATGTATACTTCAAGTTAACTTTATTGAGTATACTTAGGCTATTTATTAACTTTATTAACCACAACCTGGGACTAAATTAGCCCATTCTCTAGCACATTAAAATGTTTAAGTGTTTCATTTGTGTGACTTACTGTAACTGTGCAACAAGTTCACAGCTTTTTAGCAAACATTGAGGTATATTTCCAATAAACTGCTTTTGTAGTTTTATTTTGCAACTTGAGTTATATTATTTACTGT